TCTCTCTCTCTCTCTCTCTCTCTCTCTCTCTCTACTCTCTCTCTACTCTCTCTCTCTCTCTCTCTCTCTCTCTCTCTCTCTCTCTCTCTCGTCTCGTCTCGTCTCTCTCTCTCTCTCTCTCTCTCTCTCTCTCTCTCTCTCTCTCTCTCTCTCTCTCTCTGTCACGTTTTATATCGCTTGGGTGAGGTAGCGCGTTGTAAGCGTGAAGCATAATTACAAGGATTAGCAGAGCGCAAACGAGGGAAATGCACGCATGCGCAGATACGCTCAAATATAAATGTCGGCTGTGCATAATACCAGGGGTTAATAATGACAAATTTTGCATTATTATCTCTCTCTGTGTCTCTCTCGCTCTCTCTCTCTCGCTCGCTTTCTCTCTCTCTCTCTCTCTGTCACGTTTTATATCGCTTGGGTGAGGTAGCGCGTTGTAAGCGTGAAGCATAATTACAAGAATTAGCAGAGCGCAAACGAAGGAAATGCACGCATGCGCAGATAAGTTCAAATATAAATGTCGGCCGTGCATAATACCATGCAGGGGTTAATAATGACAAATTTGGCATTATTAACCGCTGATATTATCTGTATCTGCTTTATATTAGGACAATAGGTCAATTAGCTATAGCTATTGCAAATTATACAAAACTCATTTATTAACAATAATAATAATAATAATAATAATAATAATAACTATTTTCATGGTTTAAAAGTTATAACGCAACTAAACATGTTCTGTAACTATAATTACACTATTAAACAGATAAATCAACTGATACGATCACAAGATTTGTTTATTTGCAGAAACGAATTTCGCCTATAGAACATATTATAATTATACATGCAGTTTGTGCACATATGTTGGCTCAATAAGAGCCCATGCGGCTATTGTTCAGGAGAAACACGCAGTCAATGAATGTATTCACACGGCGTGCTCTGTTATACGTCACAGTGACGTTACGGTTCTCAATCATATCATACGGTTATCTATGTCATAGATAATGCATGAAAAATTCATCCGCTAGACCGCTACCTGTATCATTAATTGTAACTTTAATATAATAAACAAGACTTGTACACCGTATAATAATTCACATAAAGTTATTGCTCGTTTAAAACAGTGCGTCCTGACTATAATATTTTGTCGTTGATGTTCATCTAGGAAAGAAAGCTACATGCCCTATGAACCATCTCCAATTTACACTACCAATAATGAATGAACCAGCATTTACGGTAGCAAAACAAAATGAACTCTAATGTGGGTCAGTCAGATTTCAATCGCCCGTATCGGGTTATGTGAAAGTAACTCGATCCTGCCCATTCATCTGTTTCCGCTCAATTTGCCTCCAGACTGTCGGTCTCGTACACAAAGGTATCGTTTGAGCGCGTATAAAACGTATATGTTAATATGTAATGCTGAATTGTAAAATATATTTGCAAATATTACGCCACTATATTAGTGCAAAACTATTATAATCTATTACGTACAAACTGTCTAAGCAGCGCTTGAAATATATAGTTTCATAGTTGCATTACTTGAATAAGAATACGTCCTTGAATAAGAAGACTTATCCTTGAATAATATTTAGGTGAATACCAATTCACCTAAATTTCGGCTGTGGCAATTCTTAACAAGATTAAATGACGTACAGATACCGTGCATTATCACGCAAATCTGTTTATATCATCCTTGCGGTATATGGCGATAGATTTGGACTATGGTGTTGGTGTCGTTGTCGTCGCACAGTATAGAATAAAGGGATTATAGCCAGATCCGCCGCCTCCGTAACCTCGACCACCGTGACTTCCACCACCATGGCCACGGCCACCGTGACTTCGACCACCATAACCTTGACTACCGTGACTTCCACCACCGTAGCCTTGATCACCATGGCTTCCACCACCGTAACCTCGACCACCGTAAGCGCTACTACTAGACCTGCGACCACGGTAACTTCGACCGCTTGATCCACCATAGCCTGCATTTCCTCGGTAGGCACCTGAACCGGCTGGCCTGTAAACGAATACATCGTCAACGATTAATGCAATATACGATCTGAAATGCTACCGAAAATATTAAATATAGTGTACAAACGGATTTCTTTTATAATTATATCGTGACTTACGCGTATGGCAGGCCTAATCCCGTCGGGAAACCATGATCGCCGGGATTTCCATTAAACGGTGACCCTTTCTGTGAGTGGTAGCGGTTTAGTACACTGTAGGGTTGATATCCTCTTCCATATAGTGGAGAGATTACGCAGATTTGCTGAATTGTCGCATCTGGATCGGGAAAGCCGTGTTGTCCGGGGCTGTTATTGAAAGGTGATCTCTTCAGGGGGTGATATCTATTTAGAGGCGTAAAGGAAGGTCCAGCCCCATGGCTGGACCCGTGCCCGTATCCCATCTTGGCATAACTGTTCTTTCCGTGTGCGCATAGCAACAAGGCGGTGGCTAATACTACCTGAGTCAATGAAACCACAATTAAAATATATCTTGTGCGTTGGTGGTAATTAAGTCTTTCGTAGATGTTGCGCTGCCGGTAATAGTATAGTATAGCGGCATATACAGTAAAAACCCGCGTATAAGAACATAGATTTTAAGAACATGTTAGGCTAAAATTTCCCATTTAGACCCCTTTACATAAGAACCTGTTTTAGGCTAAGATTTTAAAGTAGGTTCTTAATTTTCCATGTTTTTTTCCCCATTTTTTTCTCCTCCATTTTTTGGCATGTTGTTTTGTTTCCTTGGATACATACTGTATCATACAGTATGGTAAGCACAGAAAAACTTACACTGTAGCCCATCATGGGTATTAATTAGCAAAAATTGCAGTCCTTTTAAGAAAATTTTAACACAATTTGAATCAAGTATAAGCTTATACATATTAAAAGTAGAAACAATTAAGAACCTATTTAAGAACCTTTTGAGCCTAATTTTTCAGTAAGCACCATTTATATAAGAACCTATTGAGGCTAACTTGGAAAAATCTATGTTCTTATACGCGGGTTTTTACTGTATATATATGTATGTATGTGTGTGTGTGTGTGTGTGTGTGTGTATGTGTGTGTGTGTATGTGTGTGCGTGCGCGCGTGCGTGTGTGTGTGTGTGTGTGTGTGTGTGTGTGTGTGTGTGTGTGTGTGCTTGCGTGCGTGCGTGCGTGTGTGCGTGCGTTAGTATAATTATATGGTTTCCATGTTACTTATCAGTACATGTTACAGTTATAGTTTAGTATCTGTAACTTTTGATGTTAATTATGTACAAGCACAAGTGTTATAATATATGTTAGTATAGTTATATGTTTTTCATTTTACTTACTAGTATACATGTTATATTTATAGTTTAGCATCTGTAACTATACAAGCACACCGTGATGTATGGACAGTCAGCAAACCCCACCTGGATAACAAACGAAGAACCAAAAACCCAAAAAAAGAAAAGAAAACAAAGAACTAAAGCGCTAGTGTAATATTAATCTAACCCATTACTAACAATCTACAGTCTAACCACATTTCGTTTTTTAAGCGGACGTGCACACGCGCATACACGCGAACCGTA